ATGCAGTTGTCTGGCAAGGTTTGCTGAGACCTGCCGTAGAGTTGGAGGTTTCTGTATGGGCAAGCCTGATAAAGGCAGCAGAGGCTTCTATGTTATCTTCCCAGACAGCTTTGTATTCAGCCTTCTGCCATGAGGAAGTAGCAGAGAAACAATCGGTCACCTCCTCCCTGCTTCCAGCCCTGCACACCTCGCTCTTCTGTACTCATTCTACATTTGGTGTCCTATTAGGCAGTGACCGCCCTGTGATTCTACCCTGGAGGTAAGTCCTCGCTGCTTCTGCTCATGTCATATGCCTGTAGTAAGTAAGATGTCTCAGCTTCGCTATGGAGGAGAAGCGTATTGATGGATCATCCCGTGCCCTGAGTCTCCAGCTTGCTCTGCTTATGATGGCTTGTTTTGCAATGTGATGCATAATGCTTTCAGCTTATTAGCTGGAGTTATTAGACCCTTTTAAGTCCTCCAGAAGGTCTGATAAAGACTGTAGGAAAGTCGGTTTCTCATTGCAGTCAGATTCCAGCAGTTGTCTATGACATCTTTGTTGCTACAGGCTTAAAGCACAGTTCGCTTTCCTCCAGTGTCCACAGGTTTGCTTTGCTTTTCATTAGGACTCATTTTTAGTATTCATTGCAGCACATCAATGCAAACTCTGCCATAAGCACTGTGAATACTGTTGGTTTACCCGTAGCAGTACTTGTTCTATATCTTCTTATAAGCTACTGTGACTTTGTGATGTGATAACTCCTTCAGTTGTGTTTTGTGAGCCGTAGCAATGAATAACTCAAACTGCTTGTAAATCTCTGTATACATAGCTGCAGGTAACCCAGACGTTGGATACATTCCAGTCTGCTCTATTCATTGCTGGTGGGCTGAGTGGGATATAGATAAGTGCAGTTCAAATTCTTTGTACCTGTTGCCTAATTCATAGCGTTGTGGATTAAGTTTACATTTGTGATATGGCCATGAATAAGTGAGTCAGATACTAATGAATAATAAGAGGCACTGAGTGCTTTGTTCCCCGTGCCTCGTCTTAGCAGTGCTTGGTGGGCTGGTAGCCTGATTACTAGGTCGGTATTCTATTACGAATTGATGTTTCCAGGTGACACGGGAGTTCTATGGAAATTCATCCGGTCAAACCAGTATGTAAGGTATGCTGTAGCACATAGGAGGAGTGTGAGGCGAGGCTGATTTCATATTACATGGGTGTCTCTGTGACCTTTTCATAAACAATTTCCAAATGCCTTCCACAGATCTGACATATCTGCTCTGAGAGCTCCTATGGGTCTGGGTGGTATTGCACAAGGACGGTAGTATAGTAGTAACAATACACTACAGCTCTGAGGTTAAAGAGTACCTTTTACTTACAACAAGACAATTTTTGTTCATGGCCCAGTATTGGGTTTATCACTCCATAGACATTAAGTGGGATATAGGACTTGTGGACTCGATATTTTTATGATTCCCCATAAACAGGAACGCTTGGATTGCCTGAGAATGGATTTTATGTCTCTAAAATAGTAGGATTGGATGGCCATCCCCAACACCAATCTATACCAGGGAAGGATAAGAGCCCAATATTTCTCAGAGTACCAGAGACAAGATGCTCGATATGTAGAGATGTGTTATGATGCTCATAGACATTTGTGGGCAGTCAGACATTCCCACACTGCCACAGACCCCGCCATCAATTGGCCTGTCCGTGCATATGTATATTAGTCATGGCTGCGTGTTCATGTTCTAGTGCAGAGGGAAGGAAATGAGAGGTGCTGGTAGGCCCACACAGCCTCTTATCTTGGGAGGAACAAAAGGGATTGGGGCAGGTGACTAACCTGCATGAGCAACCCCCAAACAGCAGTGACTTAAGATCACCTATATAGAGATCGTCTTGCTCCTATGGGCACATTGTAGTCAATTAAATCAGATCTCCAGGATGTTCAAAAGTTAACCCTTGCAATTTTGGTCTAGGAAATGGAATAAAGAAGAAACTGACCTGATCCTTGATCCTGAAGTGGTGACCGCTCATCCTCTCTCCCCCCTCAGCTCCGGCTGTGAAATGTCCCTTGGTGTCCTCACGTCTAATGCAAGTTGAATGGACCTTGCAAAGACCTGATGAAGTCAGCAGGGTTTGGGGTTTGAAGCTCGGGGGAGAAGAGGCTGAAGGGACAGGTCTAGCAGCTGGAGTGGGATTGGGGCGGCAGATCAAGGATCAGATATGTATATTTTCTAGCCCAAAACGAGCAGTTAACCCATGTAGTGCAGGGGTAGCCACACTGCAAGGGTTAACTTTTGAAAAACTCTGTTGATATTAGATCCATTGTATATACTTTAAAGGTATAACTTTACATTCTATTGTACACGGCATGGACTTGTTCCCACGTGGTTCCTGTATAAATACAATGAATGCATGAATATGGGTTAGGCTGGGTTCACACTCTGCTGGGGGGCAACGCATTAATGTGCACTGAATTAGGCAGCTCATTGGTAAAAAAAAACAAATAGGCTGGCAAAGCACCTCAACATCCTCGAAAAGGAACATGCACCTTTCTGGCAGCACATTGCAATACATGTACATTGGCAAGAAGCATTGGAATATCATTCAGAATAGATGGCACAAATGTAGGCAACATGCACTACAGAAACACGTTGCATGTGCAAGGTGTGAACCGACCCCTACAGCAAGCTGCATGATTAGACTTTCTTTAAGTGAGGGACACATTTCACTTTTCCCAGCAATTTAGATACCTGGATAACAGGAATGTGAAAGTGGAGGAAAGAAAAAGTTAGTGTTGTCCAAGACCACTTCAGATTTCAGTTTCAAGGTCTTTATTTTCCAAGTGGAATTTACTAAATATAAAGAAGCATCTGACCTGCTGGTGACACGTACAACTTCAACTTTTCACCCATTGAAATACCCAACCTTCTTTTATGTTCTCAGAGTAATAAATACTCATTACCTATTCTGTCCGTGGAACACTTGTGACTATTTATAAGCTCTCCAGCTCTTGGGGCGTGGCACTATCATTATATACGTAATGCAGAATGGCGTTATGTAAATACCCCACAAAGACAAATGATGCATTCAATACAGCTATGCAAGGAGAACAGCGCTAAATGCAAAGTGCAGTGCTTGCCGCAACCAATCAGAATCCATGTTGTACTAATGTGGCGTAAAGTGAATTTGTATTAGCCGCAGTGGCTATTGCTCCCTGCTTTGTTCATTGACTAGATCTGGTTGGTATCATTTCTCCATGGCTGCTCTGCTATGAAGCATGAGCCTGTAAAATGCAGCAGAGTCTTGTACAGGAAGACAATGTTGTTTATTTCTGGTAAATTCTGAGAAGCACCTCATATCGCAATAGCTACAGCAATTCAGTTTCCTGCACAGCAGCAAGTCAGGAAATAGCTGAGCCGTCGCATCACGTAGAAATTCAGAGCCACTCGCTGCTGATCAGCAAGGAAATACACAACTGAATATAATGTCCATCCAGTTAGCCAAGTAAAGTCGCCTTCACTAGACACATAAAAACAGTAAGTATGGGTCGGCCTGATGTGTGGGCGGTGAGGGACATATACAATGCATTGGCTCGATTGTTCATTTACAATCATTCCTAGTCCTACTATGGAACCTGCAGCAATCTTGTTGGAATAATTGAACACACGAGTCTCATAACTGGATTTATGTGATAAAAGCTGCTGTTTGTCTCCGGCATTCATGTGATTTTATGTCTCTGCTAAACAAAGTGCCCTGGGCTAGTTGCTCCATGATGCTTGTGAAATTCCTCTCCGCTTGCTGCTTCCTTCTGCAGTGTGTTCACAATGCTTCGCTGCTGCCAAGACTAGTTACATGAGTGTGTTGAGCTTTGCTATTGTTGGATGTAACCTGCGTCAGGATCTTCCAGCTGCTGGTAAACTACTTCTAAGTCCCACGATGGCCGTCGGAGCATTGTGGGATAGCTCCCAGGGATTTGTGAACACTCCAGACATTCCTATAACCAGTCCGTCTTCTTCAGAACTGATTGTCATCCATAGTAACCAAGCTCATTCTTTCCTCCATTTTCCAAATTTGTCAGGAGAACCCAAGTAAGAGCCCAGATGTTAGGGGCCCAATAGGTGCTTTTCAGATCCTTTGAACAAAGCTGTGCCGCACCAGTTACTTTTAGCTGGAAAGCGCCTGATTTTATAAATTGGATGAACAAAGACAAATCTAAAAGAACAAACACAACTGTTCAACCCTTCATAGGTAGCCCTCTTATTTATATACAGGTGAAACTGTGTTGCAGATTTTTGCAGAACATTAGTCAGGAGCCCAAGGGCATGTGTTGACGGGCTTTTGTCCACGTTGGATGGGTTTTGCATTCCCACACAAGTCTATAGGAAGGAGATCATATGCAGATCTAATGACCTGTGAATGATGTCGGAAGTATCTCAAACTGATGTCATTGACACAATCCCAAAGCCTGTTGGCACAGGACCCTTATCTGTTATTTGTTCAATTTGTTTTATAAATCTCATTGACAATGTTCCTAAAAGGATCCTTTTTACAAGTATGAAATATATTCCAAGACCAGTTTGTTTGAAAAGCTAGTTTGCCAGCCCCGTTATAGGAGTTGTAGTTACAGGCAGGATTGGATGGCGATCTGGATATTTATTGGTGCCACAGTAGCTGACACCCCATGGGGGATAAAAGCTATTGACAAGAGTATCATCTTTCCCCCCATAGAGCTTATTGTCTCACAATGTTGACAGCGGTAGGTAGTGTTTACTGTACATGATCCTGCATGCTTGTACAATACGACTGTACATGTTTATGTGCCGGTATTAAAACTAAAGTCTCCTTTGAAAGATTGTTTGTTAAACACAACTGCCATCTGGTTACCTTTCCGGACTGGTCTAGGAATTTCTGGCTGTGTATTGTGGTTAGATGTTATGTTTTATTTTCTTTGTGGTTCGTATTGTCTCTGAATGTTAATAACTTAACCCGTCTTTCTGCTCTTCCCTCTCAGCGAGAAAACCGACGGCTGCAGGAGACCAGCATGAGGCTGGAGCAGGAGAATGATGACCTGGCACATGAACTGGTCACCAGTAAGATTGCTCTGCGCAATGATCTGGACCAGGTAAGTTCAGAACAATCCATGAGAAATGTTCCAAACACAGTATTTCTTCCACCGCCTGTCAGCAAAAGTGACAAATTACAATTATTCCCGATGTGACCGTGTACAGATTTCTGCTCTCATCACAGTACATTGGTGGAAGAGCGGAGGCTTTTATAGCCATGAAGAGCACTTAACTTGCTGTCTGAATTGGGTGGCACATCATGTGTGTACTCAGTCTGAGTATATAGACATACAGTATAGAGCCTCTGATATGATAGAAGTTAGTAAGGCAAAGTTCCTTGTACAGTGAAAGTTTACATTATAGGATCAGTTTTCTTCCCATGAACCTATATGGCTTTAATGGGTCAGCAGAGAGTATAATAGAGGATCCGTCATGCATTTTATATCTCTTGGAGGCCCCAGGGATGAGATCTTCCATAGTTTCTGGTCATCACTTGTCCACCTTGAAGGAGCATTGGTTGCAGCAGGCGCCCTTGATTCTAAGAACGGTCTCTCTACCAGAAATCTGCGAGACCTTTCTAAAAATATAACTCTCCAACATCTACCTTTATCTACCAACAGCTGAAATCTTACACGTTGCCATAAATGCCGATACTTAACAGTGCAATATTTTCCCTGTGAGTGGATGCTGTCTATTTTTTGCTATTTTTGCCCACTTTAGGCTTTAAAGATGCTTCCCCCACCTCTGTAGGATCGCAGAGCAGCTTAAAGCCATATAGCTGTCCTCACAATTAGGTTGCCCATAGATGGCTCAAAAAAAGCCAATATTCCAGATTCAGACAGCTCTTTTGTGGTACTAGAATGGAGTAGAGTTTCTCAGACATTTGGGAGGCTCATGATATCACAAGGAGATTTTCCAGGTAGGTGCCAATCCTTCCCCATTATACGAAGGTGCTAGTGCATCTGCCTCTCTGTATATTAGGAACTTTTGTTTGTCACAAGTTCATTTCTACTAAACCACTGGAGCTTTTCACATGTACTTACAAATGTTACCTATAGCTCCCAGCTTATGTTTTAGGTTTATTTTGACAGCTAAAAGAATACGGCAGCTGCCATTGCGGCCCTACCTCAGCCAATGACCTGAAACAAGCAAACATATAGAAGTCCTGACTTTGTTGCATACTAGTTCTTGGCCATTGATTCTTAAAGTATTGAAGACAGACAGCTAGCATCTTCAGATGGAAGTCAGCAATAGCGGCCTTCATGTTTTCTTTTAAAGGGAAACATATTCACCATCCTCAGGGTCACATAGCGAACTAGTTCTGTTGCCGCACATATCTGTCAGTGAAACGTAACCAGTGCTTGGTCTTGAGCTAGTTTGCTGCCCTGGAGTCCGATCATCATTACTTTCAGCAGAGGCTTCTAGCCCTCTAGGCCCCATGCACAAAGGCTAAAGTTCTCTAGGAAGTCTAAACAACTTTTATACTTCTCAGATCACCGGTGTTTAGATGTTTCTGGGTTTATCTGTAAAACCAAGCTAAGGGTCCTGGGATGCAGGAAATTCTTGTTTGCATAAATGTAGCTAGGCTGAATGTACCTAGATGCTGCTAACCATCTATGTGTGCATTCAGCCATATAAAAGCATTATATGCTTCCAGGTGAGTTTAGAAATGAGCTCCAAACACACCTAGAAGCATCTATTTTCATTTGCAAGTGCATGGGGCCTTATCAGCCAGGTAAGGCATCATACAGAAAACCATGAAGGCAATCTATTACTGGCATACATCTGGCTCTAAGGCCTGGTTCACACCTGTACGTTTTGTAGCGCGTTCAACGCTCTACGAATGCTCTACAAAACGCTCAAACATGAAAATCCCATTGTTTTCTATGGGTATGGTTCACACCTTGCCCGTCTGAACGCGCTACAAAACGGCCTACGCCTGAAAAGGTACATGAGCTTCTTTGCAACGTTTTCGTTGCGTGTTTCCACGGTCGCGGTAAAAACGCGTGTCACGAAACGCGCAACAAACGCGCATATTCGTTACGCCTAGGTGTGAACAGAGCCTAAGATTGTTTCAACTGGCTATTTTTCTTTGGTCCACGTGGTATAGTTATGCTGATAATTGTGGCAGTTGGTATGTTGAATCACTTAGTATTTCTTCAGAGGTGACATCTTTGTACCTGCATGCCTTGCCTCACCCACAGGTGTTCCTGCCGGATTTTTCATTTATTTTACATTGTGAAAAACATCACTGGAGGAGTGGACTGTAGGAGGGAGGTCACAGCCAGGAACTCCAGTCGAAAGATCTCACCTTTGTAGTCTCATGAAGCCAAAGGCTGGCCTAATTCTTCCATATGTGAAATCATATTTTCTGCTGGTTGAACAGCCCACACGCAGTAAACTTTCACACCTCCCTCTCCAAAACCGTTAACAAATGGCTGATGATATAGCATGAGAGAGGGAGGATTGTGTAGTGATAGAGCCACCATATTCCTGTCAAAGGAAAAAAAATGTTCCAGCGAACATCTTGTGAGGGAACACTTATATTACTTCTCTTAACTGGTACCACCCCTTCATCACCTCCCATTGACAAAAAAAAAGCAAGCTGACATATGGATACTATGACCTATAGATCATGCAAAAGGTAACAGAGATTTGCAAGTATGCATGCACAATTCTTAACTTCCACATTTAGAGTGTTTGCATACGATGAAGATACAGCTGTGACACAGTAGTCATGGATCACAAATAGTAATCTGCATGATAAATGTCATTTTTCTGGCAGGCGGAAGACAAGGCGGAGATATTAAATAAGGAACTGCTCCTGACTAAACAGAGACTGATAGAGACTGAGGAGGAGAAGCGTAAACAGGAAGAGGAGACAGCACAGGTAAGGAGCAATGTTTTATATGATTATATGTCATATAGATCCATTGTACAGTTTTCTCTGAAGGTTTTCTGGAGATAAAGCAGACTTGTGGGCTATATGCCTTCCCATTAGACAATGGGGAGTCCTGATCAAGCTATACCAGGGCTCCAATAGGTATAATGATGGTCTAAGGATAGTTGAATGTAGGGATGCACCAATACCGTTTTTTTGGTATCGAGTACCGATATTTAATAATTTTGTTGGTACTCCTCGATACCAAATACAGATACCGTAAGTCCCATTAAGGAAGCCAGGCGGTGTGTAATGACTCGCCACATGGCTTCTTAAATAGCCGGGAAGCCAGACGGCATGTAAAGACTCGCCACCCGGGTTCCTGATTAGCAGGGAAGCCGTCTCCAGGCTTCCTCATCACTAGGTGACAGAAAGCATGAAGCCGACTTTCTGGCCAATCAGGAAGCTGGGCGCCGTGTAATGGCTCGCTGCCCGGCTTCCTGATACCGGAAGCTCAAGTATCGGAGCATTTGGACAAGTACTCGCCCAAATACTCTGCATCAGCACTAATACCGATATATTATTGGAACACTGAATTAATCATGCTGTAGTTAAGGTACCCACCTCCAAATTAGGAGGAAGGGGCCACGGTGAGTCACGGTTCCTGGCCTACAGAGCTTTGTGATTCCTCTCAACAGCCCCATGCTGAGTTTAACCCAAGGAAGCCCAGAATGGGCATACAAGGACAAGGAATGGGCATATAGTTTTACATTTTGCGGCTTAGTCTATATATAATCTGGCAGAGGGGTACTGACAGGACCATGGTTACCATAAGGTATAGCTTGTGCCAACATCTTAGATTCTGATTAGTGTCGGGAGGCAGATGCTGTTGACTTTCTTAGCTCTACTACTAGTATATTGTTTCATTTTTCTAGTGGTTTCTTCCTAGCTGGCCAGTGTCAGTATTGCACCTCATTGTCCAGCAACCTCGGGCCCCCAGCCACCAAAGAGATGTTTTTACACCTTCGCTTAGTTTGTTCTGTTCTGACATCTCTTCTGAAGGGTATAAAAAGTTCAGTTTCTACTCTGTAAAATGTTTGATGTGGTTTATTAAAAGAACATTTTCTCCTCACAGCTAAAGGAAGTCTTCAGGAAACAACTAGAAAAGGCAGAGCAGGAAATTAAGAAGACCACGGCTATCATAGCAGAGTACAAACAGGTAAATTGATACTTGGTATATTTGCATCTCTCATTTATTAGATGAGCAGAATGGCAAAGTCCACAGACGTTTCTGTAAATATGAGTGTCGGAATTGCTTTCTGTTTGATTCTAGTATTCATAAGCAGAAGTTCCTCTCTCCATGTTTGTTCTGAATCGGTCACGTAAAGCCAAGGGTTCAGCAGAATGTTAACATTTGTACATTGAGAAAACCTCAATGGTCTCCATATTTCTCTCAGGAAAGGTTCCCTTTAAAGGGCAGCTCTTGAGGTGGTTGAGGGTATAAACTACATTCACCTCCAGGACCCCGGTCTACCAATCTGTCCAATCTAATCAACTTTCAGGACTTTCAACCTGTGCATGAGCCTCTGCTGTTACCAATCATATTTATTAGACTAAAGAGTTGTCATAACAAAGTGCTCCCTCTGATTAATGAATACCAGGCTGTGTAATGGGAAGCACTCGTGGCTGTTTCTCTAGAAAGCCCTAGACTCTCCAGGCTGAGCCGCAGACCACCATTCATGGAAGCCAGTCAAACAAACTCTTTAGCAATCTGCTTGTTTTAACCTACCTTGGTGTTAGCCGTTAACATACATGCTACATGGTTTCTCATTAACATCTCAAACGATCTCACTTTTAGATATGTTCCCAGCTGAGCACACGATTAGAGAAACAACAGACGGCAAGCCGGGAGGAAATGGAGATCCTCAAGGTGAGATATGCACACAAACCTAGATGCTCAATGCATGCTGTCACAGCAAATGGCTTTCAGTGTGTTCAACCAATTCGAAGTTGTATTTTCATTTGATTTTCTATAATGTTTTAAGGCCAAGCTGATGGCGTGCAGTCACTGCAGCGAAATCTTCAGCAAGGAGGAGTCGGCGCAGAGCTCCAGAGGAGACAAATCAGGTGACGGAGGAGATGAGAAGGACTCTCTAATGAAACACTTACGGGAGATGGAGCTGGAACTGGCACAGACTAAACTGCAGCTGGTGGAGGCCAAGTGCAAAATTCAGGTAAATAGGAAGAAATATCTTTGTATTTTACTGTTCGAGAATTGTCCTTGTACTGGAGAACCACATACAGTATATGTAAGCAGGTAATAGACATTCTGCTGCAATACAATGGGGGGGAATTTATCAAACTGGAGGAGTAGACAGACTCTGGAGCAGTTGCCCATGGTTACCAATCAGCTTCACTCTGAGAAGCTTTGCAAATGAAAATATAAGCTGATTGGTTGCCATGGGCAACTGCATCAGATTTGATAAATTCCCTCCCATGTGTTTTGTTAGTATACTTTACTGGCACCTTTTAAAGAGGATCTGTCATGACACAAAAGAAAAACTGGAGCAGGGTCTAGTTCCTCCTTTTATGGCTAGTCACCAGGCACTTCTGACTTCCTATTAGCCAGTGAGGCAGCCCATCATAGTGATAGGATAAGTGTTGTGGCAGGGCTTAGGAGCAAGCTTTGACATTGCCCAAAAGGTTTGGAGCTTGGCCTGTCAGAAAAGCCATAACAAGATTTTAGAAGATACCTGCAAATACTTTTAGATGTCTGCACCTTATACTTGCAGCATTCTTCCCCTCTAACAGTCTCTGTAGAATGGCCTATCTTCCCAAAAGTCATATTTCAGGTATAGGTGGAGTCTGGTCTGATAAATTTAGCCCTTTAGTATCAAAACCTCCTGGACACAAATTGTATTGCTCTGCTTTAATTTAATGTCATGAAAGGCAAGGGACTACAAGGCCTGCCCATAGTTTGCCGAATACCTCTTCTATGTAGTCAGGGGGTGCACACTTCATGCAAGTCCTGAGTTTCTGTGCCAACGTGGTCCTCTGGCCACTGGATAATAGGATTGCATTACATTGGAGGAGGGGTCAGAGTAAAGTCAAGGACTCCAGGGAGGTGTGCTTGCCCTAAGCAGATATAACAAATAGGAACATTGGGGAGGGACAGGTTCCCTTTTGAGCTTTGCTCACTTCAATGCCTTACTGAATTAGGCTCGAAAGCGCAAACCCCATGGCAATCTGATTTCACTTTATCCCAGTCAGATGAGTAAAAGAACAAAGTGCTTGTCATGTATTACTGCACTTTGACTTTTGGCTGCCTTAGCTATTAGAGGGAAGTCAGATGTGATTTGTACAGGAAGGGATTATAGCTCTAAACAGGGGAACTGGACCCTGGGATTCCTGCACGTCCCCCACCACCTTCACAACTGCAATAGTGGTAAATTCCTGCCTCTGACCTCTCTATTTCTGCCTCTGTAGGAGCTGGAGCATCAGCGAGGAGCACTGCTCAATGAGATCCAAGCTGCCAAAAACTCCTGGTTTAGCAAAACCCTGAACTCTATTAAAACTGCCACAGGGACCCAGCCCACCGCACAGTCACCGCAGGGAGCCCAGGCTTCTAGCCCAGTTCTGCAGGCCCCTAATGAGAGCACATAACACCAGGGAAGAGAACATAACAAGAGCACAAGACGACCAAACGGGAAGCAGAGAATCGCGTGCAAAAGGAGTACCCATGTCTCCTGGGTGGATGGAGGTCAGAGGTCATGTGACTCTATTCCATCACTGATGTGCCCAGCCAGCTTCTAATCTCCATGCCACGGTCTACTTCTGCCTCCTGCATCTGAACCTTACTTTGGGCTGCTGCCACTTTTTACACTTTATTTCTTTTAAAAGGACTTGTACTATTTTAGTATAAGAAGGGCCCTAGGCTCCAGCCAGTGGCTAACCCGAGAAACGTTGATAGGCTCACGGCCCTGGCTGCCTGATTCATGTGCGTGTTTTGTATGTATAAAATATGTTGCCGTAAAAATACAAATGTTTATAGAAATACATATTTACATATTTGATCAAAAAAAAAAGTTTTGACATATTGCTGCCTAAAAAAGTGCTAAATATTTTTTTTTATTCTCATCATTTGTCTCTGGGATTTCTGCCCTGGGACTTTGTTGTATTGTATGCAACCTGACAATTTATTAATCCATCACAATATTATCAGTAATAAAAAAGTCATTGCTACACTCTACCTTAGACTCTTACTATGGAATGTCCTTACAATGTGGAGGGGTGGACTGAATTTACAACCACTAAGGTAACATGGCCACACACTGAACAATCTGTACAATTTCCATTAGAATTACCAGTAACTATGCTGTATAAGGTTCTACCTAAAACATCCATTCAAAAACATCCATTCAATTTACATCCAATCAGGTAATCCCTCTTGTATAATAAAATGTGCCATGTGTGACCAGCTTAAACGGAGAACTATGAGGTGAGTGGTTTTCACTTATCCTCCTAGATAGAGCCGACGTGTGACATGTAAAATGTCACACGTCGACTCTATTGATCAGGAAGTGGGTGAACGCATACCGTCGCACGCTCACTTCCCGATCATCTCTCTGCAGAGAGCAGTGACTGTCAGTCGCCACTCACCGCAGGGATTCCCCTCCCCTCTTCCAGCGGGGAGGGGGCGGGTACAGCTGGCTCTGCCTCTAGATTGACAGCGGGCTCTGCCTATCAGCAAGCTGTGTGGATCTAACAGTATTGTCGAGATCTGTCCCAGCTGCGGCGCTCTCAGTATACAGCGTGCAATTGCCCGCTAAATATTGAGCTTTGGCACTCCCACAACATGCAGATTGCTTTTGATGAAATCATGTTTGTTCCCTTAAAAGAGAACTACGGGGGTAACCTTTTCATCCCATATCTCTCTTTAGAGTCACGAGAGGAGGTTAGTATATGTCCTCCCGTGACCCTAAAGAGAACTATGGGATAAAAAGGTTACCCCCCATTTCATCAAAAGGAATCTGCATGTTGTGGGAGTGCTAAAAACTGCTATACTGAGCCGGTCTGGTTTTCAGACAACCTGCTGCCCTAGATTCCAATACAACTGAATAGGCATCTATGGCAGCATGCATAATCACAGGCTGACAATTCCTCTCAATGTATATATTTGTCCTACAGAGAGGAGTGTTTACAACTTGGGTGTGTTTACAACTTGGGTTTACTTTAAGACTAGATCCACACCCACACGTTTTTTGGCAGCATGTTGTAATGTACATAAATATAGCATAAAGGATATTCTGCTTTGTTGGTGGAATTAGAATTGATGAATCAGCGGTGACATACCTTTTAGATGTAGTTATTATTATACAGGATTTATATAGCGCCAACAGTTTGCGCAACGCTTTACAATATGAAAAGGTGCCCACACACCGTACGATAATCGCGGGAAATCCCGCGATCGTACGATATCGCAAGGTGTGTGGGAGCCGTGCAACCTCTGCTGCTGTAAGGACGCACGACTTTTATCTTAGGAACATGTTTGAAAACCAGCCGAGTATCGTACGATGTTCGGCTGGTTTGTGGCATGTTCGCAAGATAAAAGCCCCTCGGCGGGCTTGCGATCATCGCAAGTATGATCTGCCTGTCCAAGATAGGCAGAGCGTACGTTTTTTTAAATTACCTTACAACTATCGCAAGACAGTCTTGCGATGGTTGTAAGGTGTGTGCCCAGCATTAGGAAGACATTACAATCACAATACAAGACAAGATGGTAAGGACCTAATGAAGCAGCAGTAACATACCATTGGTTGACTAAGCTGCTTGCACGGTCTATAATCCAAGATAGCCAATGGATGCTACAATACATATTCATGGATTCAAATATTTATAGTTTAATGATATTGTCTAAACAGAAAAAAAAATAAAAATATATATATAAAAAATCACTCTATACAAGCAAGAAAAGAAAAGTTCCAGACATACATTACATTGTTAGCAATGATGCAAGTAAACAAAAGTCGTCATAATTTGAAGGGTCTGAAAGAACTGTGTGTTATTTACAGCAACCACATTCTCCTCACTCCTGGAAACATGAAAAGAATCCGGTTGCTTGAGTAAAACATTTCTATCTTTTACTTTCATAGCTCCATATATAAACAGCTACTGCCATCTAGACCAGCCTTTCTCATCTAGCGTGCTGTGGCACCCTGGGGTGTCTTCTGGCTTTTTCAGGGGTGCCTTCCATTTTTGCTTGGAGGTGGATTCTGATGTGAAAGGGGAAACTTAACATCTATTTGTTGTTTTTTTTCCTGGGGTCCCTCTTAAAATGTATACTAGACCCTTGTCTAGAATAAGAGTGTGATATTGATTTCAGGGAGTGGGGGCCCACATATCAATGTTTACCTTTTTAAATTGGGTGCCATAAGATTTTGCATACTTTTAAAAGGCATTGCGACTGCAAATAGGTTGAGAAACTGTGATCTCGATAAATGATTCTTTATATTATAAATCAACAAAAGTGTTCATCTTCTGACATACCCGACGCAAAGGCACTGCTGCAGGGAGGAGACTACGTCATTGTTAGAATCTTAATCTAGTTGGGTGATGTCAGCACAATGTAACAGTGTGTAAGTATCCAGAGTGACCCATCTTAGCCATGATAGACAAAATACTATTCCCTCACCCATGGGGTATAATCGGGTATCTGCATGAAGATTGTATCCCTGGAGGAAGATGGCTGTGCTTCTCTACAGTACCACAGACCACTCAGCCCAATACATAGGACACTCGTGTCAGTGATCCACATTCACTTGTCTGTAACCTGTATGTGATAAGGCTTCAGTTCTTCAGCAGAAACATAATCTGGTGCGTTGCTCATAAGGTCGTGACCCCGGAATGATTTTGGAAAGGCAATAACGTCACGTATGCTTGGTGCTCCAACTATAATGGAAATCAGACGATCCAGTCCTGAAAACAGAACATTCTCCACTTTAAAAATACTCCATGTTCTATGTGCAAAATGTATCACATGGGTAATGTCACTAATGTGCAATAGAATAGACAAGTTTTAACCATTCCCTACTCAAAATATAAAAACATTCTGGCTGGAGTTACACTTTAGGTGTACAATCAGACAAATTTGGGTGGACAAGTCCTTTCAGATGAGATCTGCTTTGAGAACATCTTGGTGATTTCAAGCACCACCTAATGTTGAGCCAGTGGCGTCACAAGGGGGTCGGGGATGTTGAGCCAGTATGATATCAGTAACAAATCACACCAGCTATAACATACTACAGGTATTTCAGGAGAAAAAAAATAGTACAGGATCTCCATAATCTGAGTGCTCAAAATAGGAATAGACACCTACCTAATGCGATTCCACCATGAGGCGGTGCTCCTGATTCCAGAGCCTCCAAGAGGTGAGACAAAAGACCAACATCTTCCTGCAAAGACATAAAAGGCTTAAAGTGGACCCAGACTCAGGCAACCCCAAACCTTCATGCAGTGTTTGTGAATGATGTAGCATTGACAGTAGGCATTTAGTAGATGTTTTTATCTAGACCAACCTTTCCATCTATACCACAGTGCTGAGAGACAGCTGCCATATTGGTGGAGGCATAAGCCATATGAGCAACTGTTCTTGCTCCAAGACCTGCCCCCTGATGAAACATCAATGTAATCAAAAGCAGGAGTGGGTAAGAACCTCTGATGATGGGTCCTGGAGGCTAGAAGAACAGAGCATATCTAGGCATCGCAAAGGCCTGTATACATGAGCTTTTCTTGCTTCTCTCTCTCAATACAAGTCAATGGAAATACAAAAGCAGCTTGAAGCAGAAAAACTGCAGGTCAAATGAACCTTGTCTTTTAACTGCATTTGCCCATTGACACAAGCCCAGGGCCTAAACTGTGAACATTTTTAAATCAGGAATTCTATGCTAAAAAGTAGGGATGCACCGATACCAGTGTTTCGGTATCGAGTACGAGTACCGATACCTTGCTTTCAGTAGTCCTCAATACAGAGTACCAACACCGGTGCTTCTACTGGCATGGAGGTGGCTTCCCAGGCAATCTGATTGTCCCAGAAGCTGGCTCCATGTTGTCTGGCTGGGAGGCCGGTTTCCGTGCCAATCAGCATCGAGCCGGCTTCCCAGGCAATCAGGAAGCCGGGCAGCGAGTAATGACCCGCCTCCCAGCTCCCTGATTGGCCGGGAAGCCGGCTCGATGCTGATTGGCTGGAAAGCTGGCTTCCTAGCCAAACAGCATCGAGACGGCTGTTTGGCTTACTCGATACTGATTGGCCGAGAAGCCGGCTGTTTGGCCAGCTCAAGGCTGATGGGCTGGAAAGTTAGCTTCCCAGCCAATCAGGGTTGCAGGTCATTACTCACCACCCAGCTTCCTGATTGCACGAGAAGCTGGCTCTATGTTCTTCCCCTATGGCACTGCCGGTCAGAGGAAGACTCAGTATCGGAGAAAGTATCAGAGCATTTGGGCGAGTACGAGTACTTGCCCAAATACTCGGTATTGGCACCGATATCGAAACTAGTTCCTGTGCATCCCTACGAAAAAGTCAAAATTTTTTTTTACCAATTGCAGTTAATTACATACTGATTGTTACATTAAACTGTGTGGTGAGTGGAAATATAAAACTGAATTACCCACCTTTACAAAAATAAATCACAAAGAAAAATAAACTTTAAGCCCTGAATAGCTAAAGCATGGCTGCTCACCTTTAAAACATCCTGGAGGACCCAGCGCTGCAGTTCTGCACTGTGAATGCGGATAGAGCCACCTCCAATTTCATTACCATTTAAGACCAGGTCATAGTGCTGGCCGCGTACCTGGAGGAGTTAATTATACATAAGTAGTTGTAAAGTCTTTAATGGTTATGCTTATAAAATGATGGTGCCAACACATTCCTCCAACACTAAGCCCAAACAAGTACAGACGGCACTATCGGTGTGGTTCGAAAGTTAACAAATTTATAAGTATAGGATTGTTGTACTCACTGTAAAGTCCTTATTTTGGAGTCCATTAAGAGACACGGGAAGTATTTAACTGATAGTTATACTGCCACATGCGAGAGGATTGGATACCAGCAAACAAAAAAAACAATTTAATTCAGCCCGGGATAACTTCCAAGCTAGCTCTGCAACATCCAGTCCAGTGCTGTAAAGCCAGACAAGGAAAGGCTGCCTCAGATAGCTATCATGCAAAGACCAGCTCAAGCAAAGATGGAGGGGGAATCTTGATGAAGAAAAAATGAAAAAGGATCAAAAGAAAAAAAAAATGCTATCAAAAGAATTAGGTTGGACTTTTCCTAGCAGATCTGCATGCAGCACGGAGCTGTACGTGCGGGCCGATTACAGTGTGAATGAGGCTTAAGAGTGTCACGGTAACCATAGGCAAGGGATGATACTGAAAATAGAGGGATCAAAAACATCCTCATGTTTATGGTTGTCCCAAAAGACAGTTGGTGCCCGTCATGCACACCTGACTGAGCAGGTAAAAAAGCATACCGATTATTTTTTTCCCTTGCTGATAAGCCGACACCCTCCCCTGCACTGTCCTGGTCTGTGGCCCACTTTACACCACCCTAAGGTTTGTTTGCCCTGAGTGGGGCCACATCATGCCAAAAAGTCCAACTTCCCTCATACCTATAGGCTTCAAAATGACATTCAGTTACCAAACCAATCCCTCTATATAGATCTACCCAACAAGTGCTCACCACAAAGTAACTCACTGTGCACACCACTGTGGTAACAATGCTTTGTACCCAGATGTAGACAAAGAGAATAAAGGTGCTCTTAGGGCCTCTATGCCACTCTGGTAGTAGTACCTTGGCTGGCTCAGTATACAGAAGGTCCATGTCCTCTGGTTGAGGAGCTGTGAATGGATGATGAGCAGATTCTAGCTCTTCTACATTGTCTTCTTTGGGAAGAAAAAGTGGAAAGTCAACCACCCATAAGAAATGGAAAATATTGGGGTCACGGAGAGATACCCCACATTCCTCCAGCCTAGAGGCTACATCCAAACGCAGCTTTCCTAAGGCGGTGCACTAGAGGAGAAAAACAGACAGTATAACACTGGAAAGGTCTGCAGTATACCAATACAAATACTGATAAATGTCACCTGCACCCCAGCAGAATAACTTAAGGAGAAGTGTGGGAGTGTACGATATACTCTCTCTACTGCTTAGAGCAGACATGGGACATTGCAGCTGTCAAACCGTGAGATTGTTATATATATATATATATATATATATAACAAACACACACATACATACATACATGAGCAGCTCACAGTCATGGAAAGAGGCAGAGCTGACTATTGTGTCAGGATCTTTCTTGGCTGCAGTGCCCCCTCTCCTGACTCTGGGTTATAGAAGCACATTCGTTAATGTGACTTCTCTTTTAAACCTAAACTTTAGGCATATATATTCACACACAGTTGAAATACAAACAAGTGAGCTGTATTGGATAACATAAGTCCTAAACACCTGCCAAACAAGAGCTTAGGGTCCTGGACCTCTCTATAGAATACTGTGCAGATACGTGATACAGCCTGGCCTGGGACCCATCCCAACCTGTGAGTGATGGGAGCTGCAACACATTGATAAGCTCGGACACCTCCATCAAATCATTAAGCCCGAACTGGCCCTTCTCTTTTCATGCTGCTCTGACAGCAATGTAAGGATTATTGTACTCACCGTAAAATCCTTTTCTAGGAGTCCACTGATGGGACACAGGAAGACTAACCATTTGGTTATACTGCCAATTATAGGATTGGACACTGGTAAAAAAAAAAAAAAAAACCTGTAAGCCAGCCCAGGATAACTCCTCCGACTACCAGCATGCCTCAGTTTGACAGCAAAGCAGTACCAAAAGCACAAGCATAAACACAAAGGGGTGGGACCTGTGTCCCTCAAGACCGCAAGAAAAGGATTTTACAGTGAGCTCAAACATCCAGTTTTCTTTCTTGTCCATTGAGGGACATAGAAAGCCTTTCACAGATAAGATGTCCAAAAGCAGTCCAACTGAGAGGTGGGCAACACAGCTCACAAATGCGAACAGACCCCAGGAAACAAAACTGGGGAATGCCTGAAGAGCCACCTGAAGGACCTTATGCCCAAACTGGCATCAGAGAAGGCTGAAATGTCCACCTGATAGAACTTAAGAGAATATGTGACCAAGTATCAGTCAAATCTGATGCCAGATGCTCGATGCCAAAAAGCCCAAGAAGCACTCACAGTCATGTCATGACAGGAAAGGGTGAACCTTTATCCTTGAGGCCATAGGCTTGGATGATGGTCTGCCTAAGCCACCTAGAAATGGTGAACGAGAAGCCAGAGCACTCTTCGGTCCCGGGTGACAAAAAAAAGAGAATCAGTCTCTCTGAAAGAAACAGTAGCTGAGAGACTCCCACAACCCAAAACACATCCAGCAATGGAGGGAACTTTATTTTAGGTGAAATGGAGTTGGATAGAGGGACAAAAGAAAGTTATCACAGTTGAGGTAAAAGGCAGAAACTAACTTCAGCAATAAAAAGTCCTGGGCCCCAACACCACCTTGTCCCTATGTAAAAACTGGAAGGGTTCCTTGCAGGAAAAAACACCAATTCAGACACTCACTTTGCAGAGGGGAAGGCTAAAAAGAACACTGCCTTTTGGGTGAGAGTAGTGAGAAGAAGGTCTCTGATGGGTTCAAATGGTGTTTTCTGAACCGCAGTAAGAACTACAATTAAATCCTATGGAGTCACATTGGAGCGAATGGGGGAAATAACAGGAGACACCCTGTACAAAAGGTTGTAATCAAAGCAGTGAAATGCCAATAGTCTCTGGAACAGAGAAGAAAAGGGCAGCAGGGCTAGTGCTTGGGCCAACACCTTAGAAAACACCCAAGGTGCATATGAGGCTAAAGGGTAGGGCCACCACCTGGTAGTTTAGGGGGCCCCACAGGAAAACATAGAAATTGTTGAGGAGCTGAAAGATGGGGACATGCAGACATGCAATCTTGCTGTCCACAGAAGGCAGAAAGTCTCCCTGCTGAAGGGAAGCAAGGACAGATTTAGTGGGTTCCTTATGGAATTTCTGGACTCAAGTGAAGACATTCCGACATTTAAAATCCAAAATGGTAAGCATGCCCCCTTTGGGTATGAGGACAGCAACCAGGTTGGAGTAAAGCCCCTGAAACCATTCTGCCACAGGAACGGGGATAATGACACTTTAATTCAGAAGACACGAGAGGTCTCAATGGAGATCTGTTAATCTGTGGGGTGATGCAGGAAGGTTGGAGGAGGAAAACTAGGGATGGGGCAGGGAGAGAAATTCCAGTTTGTAGCCCTTGGATGCTTCCTCTTGCACCCAACGTCAAAAGATGCAAGCTGTTCAAATGTCCAAAAAATTTACCAAAACCGCCTCACATTTGGAAAGTGGAGACACACTTTCATGAAGAGGCAGGCTTGTGTGAGGATTCACCAGATATTGTGGGCGGACTGGGAACCAGGCGTGAAGGGGCTTGACAAGGAACTCGAGGAAGTGGAGAAATGGAAGGAACGTTTAACAGCCAGAGAGGGGGAGAGGAAGACTATGCAGTCTCTACTTTAGGCTTCTGCCGTTGAAAAAGATGTATGCTCGAGCCACCAGTAGCAACTATGATGATATTCTCAAGAGTTAGTCTGAGGAGATGTTGTGCCTCGAAGGCCGTGCATGACCACTTTACCCAACGTGCCCTTCGCATGTGTATATACGAGATACATGTGAGCGATGTCAATCACTAATAAAAATGTAAAGCTACAGTCATCTGCCACATGTGTTCAATAAGCCACAGCAGTGATTAGAGTGCTTTTTAGGGATTTTGACCACTCACACATGCTTTGACAAAGTAAGGTCACAGCCAGGACTGGGTAAAAGGCAAGACCCACCAGAGAGAACAGAACTTTGGAAACAGCTTCTAATTGCTTATTGGCTGGGTCCTTGAAGACAGGCACTCTTCTGCTGGAATAGTAATCACTTTAAGGTGGAACACTGCCAGATACACAGCGGAAATGGACCACTTCAGCACAATATCCTTACCAAGTGGATGCAAAGCTATTAAGCGCTTGGGGGAAAAGTCTTGAATGACTGTGGTAGAGATTTCAGCCTAAAGCAGGAGGATGCAGCCACACCCAAATTCCAAGAGCTAAAAGAAAAGATGTCCATCCTCATAGGACACTGGAATAAACCAAGGCATGTTCGTAATAGAAGGGATTATCATAGACTGGACCACAGTCCAATCCTCCTGTGGCAGCAACATAACCTAAAAGTTAAAAACTTCCTGTATCCCTCAATGGACATGAAAGAAAATAGAAAGATGCCACTTAGATTTAGGTAAGTACACTAAATGTTATGTAAAAATAAAGGGAAAGCACACTTTATAATAAACGGCACTTATTGTTTTTTGGTCCCATTTCTGACCCCAACCATCCTGCTACCCTACCCTTCCAAGATGCAAATGACCTTGATACACCAGCTGCAGCCTCTGGTTTATGTTTACATCCTAAAAGTCTGGAGTGCACTGGGCATGCTTGTGCAATATTACACAATTTATACAAAATTTACACAATTTTGTTTTCTACTGCAATGATCCTCAACTATGCACTTTCATACGTCCTGACTAATTGTGAGCAGTGGGTCCTACTCTTCACAAAGCAATGCATCTCCCTTGCTTATGGCGGGCAGTCTGACCAGGAACTCATTTCACACGTTCTCCCAAGTGAGAGCCTGCTTTTCATACAGAAAGAAATGATATATGAGATCTGTCAAAGTGACTGATATATGCAGGCCTGACGCTACCTTATGCCGATAGGGAGCAGGCCCAGCGCTACAGGGGGTTGGGAGGGAGGGGCCGCAAAAATGCAACTCTGCCTGTGTGGGCACAAATCCTAGCACCGGCCCTGGATATATGCAAGGGGGAAGGAGATATATATGATATGCTGGGCCATTGTAAGGGATCACACAGCTTCTGGGGGGCAGGTAAAAAGGTACAGATGCTTCCATCATTGTAGCAATCGTGCTGTATCTCATTTCCCAAACCTCTCTAAGTCCAGACAACAGTGCAGATTTTGCATGTTAACTTACATATGCATAAACAGAACGATCAAATGTCTCAGCAGTTTGGTATATGTTTTGAAGGTCACCCCACATATGCACCAATCATTTTTTATTTTCCTTCCTGTGCACATATCCATAAACCATGAACTCTTTGTAGGTATTGAGGAGAGGTTTGGAACACTGTGCTAGGCAACATTTGCGACATGTCCTTTTTAAAGAAGAGACAGTCCCATAAAATGTCACATACTCACCACTGTGTCCTGCTGCCCTGCAGCCACTAGGAGGAGATCTTCAGCTTTTGCCTCAGTGATACCAGCAAGATTCAACTTTTGCTCTTCATTCAAATATTTGACAAGAGACGTCTTCCAAGAGCCATCTGATCTCACAGCAATGGCCAGAACGTTCTGCATGTTAACAAGTATAGATATTACTAGCAGGCTTCAGCTAATCACAATAAAGCTGCATGCAGTGAGGACATTGACTGTCAACCCTAAGGCCTGGTTCCCACCTGGGCGTTTTGTAGCGCGTTCGAACGCTCTGCAAAACGCTCAAACACCGAAATCCCATTATTTCCTATGGGTATGGTTCACACCTGGGTGTATTACAGGCCGTATGAACGCGCTACAAAACGCCCTATGCCCAAAGAAGTACAGGAGCTTCTTTGGGGCGTTTTTGTCGCGTGTTTCCATTGGGATACAGCCAAGTAGCCCTTGGAAACGCGTTTGTCGCGCGTTTTTTTGACTGCGAATCGCGCTAAAAACGTGCGTCACGAAACGCGCGACAAACGCGCATATTCGATACGCCTAGGTATGAACCCAGCCTTAGGCATAAACATCCTACAAAGAAATACGCTTCACAACCTACATGTGAAACTTTATACACAAATGAGAAAGACAGACAGAGGCTTCAGTAGGTTCAGTGCTCAGCAACTATATATCTCAAAGCCAGATTTGTCGGTAGTCAAATATGTGGCACAATGTTTAAAGAGAACCTTTCACTATAATAAAGGAAGCTGACTGATTACTATATTCCGAGCTTAACTCTCTGCGATTGTCATCTCAGATGGTATATATTACCATGCTCTATCCCACAGGTGTAGGCGAACCCTGTTTGTTTTTTTAACAAAAGGTGCATTCACCGAAATCAGGAGGCACTGGCAAGCCCATGGAGGGTCCGCTGACTTCCAATCCATTGTGTTCCACCACTTTTTTTTGGCAAGCCTTATGTGAAGTAATATGTCCTTAATGGACATAAATTACTGGAATGGCTTTTTGACGCGTTGCACTAGAAAAAAGGGGGATCTTGCTATACTTTTTTTTTCCAGTGCAATGTATGGCAATGCAACATGATGCTGTGGTGTGAACTGTCCCGATTCACACCCATTTATTTTTCATTGCCATCCGCTAAAAAAACAAACAAAAAAAACAAACAATGGTAACACAACCAATCCAGTGTGAATGGGACCTGAGACAACGATTTGTTTTGTCATTTTTTTTTTACATTTAATCATCAGTAAATGTCCTGTTGGTGTTGCATAACGGCTTCTCTATAAAGTTTGAGATGCTTAAAAAAAATATATTTTTCTAATTTATTGCCATAAAAAGATGTTATAAGTAGGAGGTTGTCCACAGGGGGTGCAGTCACTGTTCGAGTATTCTGACAGCAGCACCCCTGCTACTGTCAGAATACAAAAGGACACAAATGGAGATCCGTCCATCCACATGCTTTAGCGCGGATGAAGTAATTGGTTATATTTTTTTTTTGTTCAGCCCGCAGACTGTATACCTAGCTTTAGTATCCTAGTATGAAGGTTAATTCATTATTTATATCTGGACCTGGAACAGTGAGGTACACTCTTGTGTGAGTTCGCAATTTGAGGAATACTGTCAAACTGGGTCTAATAATTGCTCATCCAATTGATGATTAATCCTTACATGACTGGTGGGGACTCTGCTGAAAGTTTCAGATCTGAAAAACCACCACCATTGTTCTCGAAACACTCCCTGCTATGTACAGCCCAACCATGGACTCCTCTTACCTGTCCGAACTGCTCTTTGATCTTCTCCAACATGGAATCCAGAACTTTACCCTTAAGATGTTTCTGGGAACAACAAGATAACAAAACAGGAAAGAATAACTTTTATTCAACATTTTAAAAAGACCTCCAGTCTCAGCTCAATACCCCCATCATCTCTACTTGCAGAGGTGAAATATATCTTTAGAATACTTCGGTCTCAGATAACCAAGGTGGCTGCTAATGTGCAAATAGGAAGATCTCCCAAACCAACCAAAGTTATCTGTGAGACATAAGGTGTCTGTCAATTCCCACCACTAACAGCCCTGCTGAGGGAAGGAGAATGTTTTGATGGTTAAAGACATCATGATCAGGGACATCATGAACAGAAAAAGGATCACTGAAATTCCATTAATGTTAAAGCGGAACCCCAGGCAGTCAGAAGTAGCAGACTGATGAAGTCATCTCTCTGTCACTCTTCACTCTCCTCCTATCAGCATGGTTTCTTGCACGCCAGCGCACCCGATTGGTTCCTTGTGCTGTTTTTTCCTCTCCTTGTGAGCTTTGCTGTGCAGGGGCTGATAACTAGTCAAATTCAGGTACTTGCACTGCTTGGTTTAAAAAATAAATTTACTGATGTATGAATGATTACAGAGCTGCACTAATGTATCCATTATATCTGTCTGGAGTTCAGATTTAAGTTGGGTGGTCACTTTACATTGAAAAGGAGTCATTCTTTTTTGCTTTTAGTCATAATGCACATTCAGCAAAACAAATGGCAATTGCAAAAATCAACTTATAACCAGCTTGTAAAGTAAGGTGCACATAGAAGGGCCATCCACAGTACAAAACACAAAAACTCCCCAGCACACTTCCAGCTATCCTGCAAAAAACAAACAGCAATGTCTCACAATTTGCATTAAAAACAGAGGTTTTAGTTGCCCAACCTTTGCAAAATATGTGTGCCACCTTTTTTTTTTGCAGGCTGAGTGGTAAGAGCACAAATCAGTTTAAAGTAGCCATATTTGTTTTGCTGGGTTTGGTGTGGGGACACACTGGGGGCTTCAGCTGCCACTGTGATGTGCGTGGCTTCTGGTGTATCTCTGTGCCTTTAAAAGGAGAACTATGGGGTTAGGGCTTTCCCCCATAGTTCTCCTTGGGGTAACGGGAGGACACAAACTAGCGTCCTCCTGTCACCCTAACCTCAGTATACCGCGAGCTACAGCTCGCGGTATACTGAGACGCCGCAGGTGAAACGGATCACGACAATTATGTCTGGATCCGCCCAGCTGCGTGACTGACAGCTGGCTCTGTACCCGCTCCCTCCCCCATCCATTCCGCCAGTTAGCGCTGGAGGATCGGAGCGGGGAGGAGGGAATCCAGCCCCTTCCCTGTCACGGCAGAGAGCCGTGACAGGATCGAGAAGTGAGCGAACGCCAGAATGTGTTCGCTCACTTCCCGATCTACTGAGCCGACCTGTGACAGTCTCATTGTCACAGGTCGGCTAGAACTATGAGGTGAGTGAAAAGCACTCACCTCATAGTTCTCCTTTAAGTAGGTATGGATCAACTCCAGACATTCCTGCACTCAATTTATCCATTGATATTTCAGAAAAAAATAACTTTTACTGTCGTGGTAAACAACCTGCTTCCCTATTTATAATGGTCTGGCCCTCTAGCAACTTCAGCACGAAATTATAGCTAATTATAGCTAATTTGCCTACAAATGTCAGGTGGTCATAATAAACTGGCCACTCAGTGTATGCTCCAACATGGAGGCTTTCATAGATCAGAGTTAGGACCGCACTACACAGAGGGGCCTTGATGAGGCAGTGCGCCCTCCACAGATTTTGCAAAAGTTGTGCAACTAAAAATCTCTGGTTTTTAGTAATTTGTCATTTCTTTCAGGGTATCTGATAAGTGTGTTGGGAATTGTTTGTGTTTTATACTGAACATGTAATAGCTTTTAAAGAATGTACAAGCTGTCATCTAAATAGGTACAGCCGGCCTCACTAAAAAAGTCTCTTGCACAAAACCATGGTGGTAGGCATGAAAAAAACAAGGTTTGTAACGCAAACACAGAATGATCTTTGAATGTTTTAAAGACAAACTCCACTTTTGTAATAAAGTTGATAAAACAAATATAAGAGGCTTTCCAATGAAAAGAATGGAGGTTGCGACACAAATGTAGGGTGCCATCCTGAAGATTCCAGGCAGAGGATCTGCAGTGCCAAGCAGGCTGCACCATGGAGGAACTGGGCTGTAGGCAAGTACGACCTAATATGAATGTGCTGGGGAGGATTTGCTGAAAAGTGGACTTCTCCTTTAAATATTACTAAACATTATCTTTTGAGCTGCAGCCAGCTCAGATTTTCTAAAATTGCCAGAAAATGTAGATGTCAGTTTTGTGTACTCGGGATAACTGGCAGCATTCTGTACTCTGTATATAGATCTGCCCCAGAAAAGTAATTGATTGGCATACTGCTTTACCCAGCAATTGTTCTGTTATGACAACACTGGGACCGATCATGTGATTGTAGCAGACAGACCCTTTCACTCAGGAAGGAGGAAGTGACGGCAGTTCGTGTGTCCATAGAGCAGGTTAGTGTCTGCAATGCCATCGGCTGAAATTCATGCATTGTACATAACAGACCTGGAGAGGATTCTGTTTTAAAGTACATCTAAAGATCCTGTGCGAGAGTCTAAAATGCCAAATCCAGTTACCATGTGATGCTTCTTAAAGGAAAACAAACCCTCCTTTGTGTCTCACAAGTTCCCCCTCCCAGACACTGCAGCTTACAGTGGGAGGGATTGAGAAACAGACAGTGCTGCCGACCCAGAAAGCAGTTGGCAAGGCTAGGTGTGGGCAGGTTCTGATTGACAAGTTACAGCAGTGACAATGCAGATACCCTTGCAACATTTTTTCATCCCACTGTAGTATAGGCAGGCATAGTCTAAGTGAGGGAGACAACATGGCTCTGAATTCAGGAGCAGTGCAGCACCCTTGTCACGCCATTACAGGAAGCTGCATTAGGTGGACTTCACTGGCAGGATCAATGGGTATTTGTGAGACTTTGCAGGAGGACTAAAGGAAAAGTAAATACAATTATAATGAAGTGCTGCAGCACATTTTTTTTTTTGTATGTGGGAGGCCATAGTTCTACTTTAAAATCAACTAAATAATTTCTAAGACTTACACCACATAAAGCAAGAGGTCAGTAAAGTTCACAACAAATGTAAAACACCAAAGAAAAACCTATTATCAGTAAGGAGAAGCAATAAAGTTAAATGTTGAAAATGAGGGGGGGAGGCGGGGAACCTGTTGAATATAATTAGAGTTTGTGAAATATGGATTTTCCTCCATTGCAGTGTATGGCTCGGTGGAGGGCAGGAACACCATAATAAATAATGCTATTCAAATATATTATTCATACATCTCTTTCAATCTTCCACAGGCACAGTGTATCATTACACTCACCGCTCCCTCAGGTACTCTGATGGCTTTCACACATCCATGGGGTTCTCCAAGTGCTTCTTGCACAAATCCCAGCTGTACTGTCCTCATCTGTGCAGTTACATCAGTGATCTGGGGAAAATCAAACTCAGTCAGGAGATTACATTAAAAGGGAACTCCACTCTGTAACTTTCTTACAAAGTCATCTTCTCACACTTACATGGTCGCTTTAAACAGCCCCCCCATTCAGTTGCAGTTATCTTGCACACCAATAAAGCTGGCCAAACACTATGTGAATTTCAGCCGGTTCATAAAGATGTTTGAAGAAGCCGGCTGCAAAATCTTCTAACAAACTGCACTGTATTCCGACAGTGGGCGACGGTGGCCATCACAAGATGGCAGCATCAAACATCCAGGTCAGAACTGCAGCTTTCTCAGATCAGGAAGCTGCAGCTTTCCAGAAGAAGATAAAGCCTCCTAGATTTAAATCACATATCCGAGACTATGGTTTACTCTTAGCATTTTTTTTATTCCGCTAAATCTACCAAAAATGTTTTAATCCTTTCAAGTGTAAAAACAAACAACAATCAAGAACTAACAACTGGGGCACCTTCATCTCAAAGCGCGTGTCAGGTTTATCCACACCGTAACTGCTCATGGCCTCTGCATACGTCATCACAGGGAATGGATTGGGAAGGGTTCCTTTGTCTTCCGGCCAGGAATATCGCAATAATCCCTCCACCAGCTGCCGTATCCCAAACTGATCTACGAAGGACATTTCTATGTCAACCTAAACACAGAACACGTTCCAAAGGTTATGAATGAGAGGAGAGTAATTGCTACACTACTAAAAAAATAGATTTAAAAGGCAGTGCCATTATAATTCTCCTTATTCATAATATTCTCCCTTAGTGAAAGTAAAATAATTCAAGGTATAAATTATTTCCCCTTGTACCATCTTCTGATTTAAAAACTTCTGCAGAATAGGTCATGTGTTCTCTGCTAAAATAACATGGAGGACTGATGTCCAGATAGTACTCAGGGGTTTGGAATTCCTATCGCCCGACGCCCGGGACATACACTTTCGGGCGCCAGGCGAGTAGTTTTTTTTTTTACATCTAGCCCTGCTCCGGACAAGCAGAGCTAAATGTACAGCGTGGAGCCGCCGCTCGTTTTTATACAAGTGATCCGATCAGACCACTTGTATGAAACAAGCAGCGATCTTGTCTAATCTTGTAGATTCGGCCCCCACTTTCGTTTTTTAAAACAATTTCCACACCCCTGTAGTACTGGCCAATCATCAAATCTACTTAAACTTCAAGCCCTCCTTTTGGCAGAGACCACGTTTATATTTTACCGCTGCAGCGATTAGCTAGGTTGGGTATTATTTTTGGAGGAAAAACTTCCCTGGCTGGACTTCTTCCCTATATATTTAGTTACTGAAGGTGTTGCCCTTCAGGGCATGTCAAACTGACAATTTTGCCTTTGGATTCACTGAGAGGCAACCAACATCTTTTCCAATGAATATTTTCGACCTCAATGGCCAAAAAACTGTAGAGCCATGCTTACTAGTGAATGGGTGATATCTTGGTGGTTCAGCCAGCAAGGTAGCACATTAACGGAGAGGTTAAGGGGTGTATTAGCGATTATAGGTTGCCAGTGAATTAATTGCTAGTGGGACATGTCTCTTAGCTATCAGGAACAAAGTGGACATTTGCAATGCTGACCACTATTACCTGTGTAAATTCAGGCTGCCGGTCTGGTCTGGATCCTTCATCCCTATAACAACGGGCAATCTGGAAGTATCTGCAATGACACATGAACATGGTTTCCAAAGCGTCTATTACCCCCAATCATACCACCCATTACCCCCGGTAAACATGTCATGGAAGAAATACAGGGAATGCTCTTGTTGACACCCTTGTGAAAATGCTAGTTGTCTGTCTTTCTAACCCCCTCTGGTTTTAAGGCTTTCTGAGTCCATATCCTGGAACAAGGAAGCAGATCAGGCACTCTGAATATACTGGCTGCATGCCTGTTCCAGGTCAATGACTCAAAAATGTACTAAAGTCAGACATGGCCATGTTCCAATGGAAGCCTACATATTTCTCTTATGACAAGTTTCCATCAAGTAATTATTTAATTCCTATAAAAGGTCAATAGGAACGGTAAAGACGTTTATAGGGAGGTGAGAAGCACCCCTGCAGAAACATAGAAGCATCTTAAACTGATGCAGGTCAAATTTTATTTCAGTAAACATGGGATAAAAGCAAGGACATACTCACAAACATGTGATGCAAAATAAGCTGACAGGCAGTGAACATCTACTGGACGATTCCTGTATGATGATGACGTTAACGCTTTTCCGGGGCATGCCCCCTTCGGCGTTCTGACGAAGGGGGCGTGCCCCCCGGAAACGCGTTAACGCCATCAGCATACAGGAATCGTCCAGTAGATATTCACTGCCTGTCAGCTTATTTTGCATCACATGTTTGTGAGTATGTCCTTGCTTTTATCCCACGTTTACTGAAATAAAATTGACCTGCACCAGGAAAGGCGCCCCCTTTGTGCTTACTTCATAGATCCACAGCTTTCCCGGCCTTCTTTGGGGCAGCATCCTGCAGTATGCCTAAGAAGATTTCTCATTGAGAAGTGACAGTCTGTGGCGCTTTACCGCTTTTTACATCTTAAACTGATCTCAAATGCACTGTGCAAAAAAGCATGCTGCATATGGTCATCTACACAAACCTATAATCAAATAACAGGCAAATGAATCCTTACTTTTCCTGGAGAAAGTGCTGCTCTACTCTCTCCAGTAGTGGTCACATAAGCAAAAACCTGAGCATCTGGTCCAGTGACCTGTGCTAAAGAGGAGGTTCAGAGTACAGACCAAGTCATCCTCTACTTTAGCACTGGAGTGAGCCACATACAGATTTTTCTCAGATATTGTGAAAATTACTCTTTCACAAGCATTAATGTTGAAATAAAGGAACAAAGGAA